TCACATAATTACAATTTCAGCCCCTCTAGTTTAATTAATTACATTTGATCACAAAACTAATTCTTAATTAATTATTGACCAATATTAATTAAACAAATATGATTTCTCCTTTAATATATTATTCTTATAACATATTAATAAATCATATTATCCTCTCTCTCTTTATTCATTTCTCCAATCAAGTTGCTTTGGTGAAGGCAACCCAAAAGGACCATGCACCATCGGGTCAAGTACATACCAAAATAGTTATGGACTTAGACACTAATCCAACAATAATATGGGAAACACCATTTCCCCCTTGGTGTTATGGTGAAGTTATAGATGAGGTGGCATATAAAATTGTTGTTATAAAGTGACCCATACCTAATGCTCTAAGGACTTCTTTATGTAAGGAATAATTATAACTTAGTTAACAATGGGAAATTATCTTATGAATGATCTTTCTTTCATATAAATCATCTAGTAAAATATATTAAATGAGAACATGATAACATAGTATTAATTATTGAATCATGATAACATAGTATTAATTATTGAATAATATCAAATGTCAGTTCATTTATACGTATAACAATGTTCCCTGTATTGATTATGTTATTTATTTCTTGTCTAGTAGAAGCTAATCGAGATCAATTTGATCTCCTAGATCCTGGTTTGGAAGCTTAGTGAGAGCTCTTACCTCATGGTAGCTTTGAGAGATTCATGCTACACTACAAGAATAACCTCCTATAGAGACGAGATATATAGGGACGACATATGTCGTCGCAATAGTTACCCTATAGGGACGACATGTCGTTGCCATAGAGTTGATTAATTATTTTTTACTTTTGAAGATACTTCGATGACCTCTCGTCTCAACATGTTAGGCGGGAACGAAAGTGAGTATAGCGCGTTCTTGAAACACCTATGGGGACGACATATCGCTCCAATAAATAACAAAAAAAATAAAAAATAACATATTTTTTAAATCCTTTGGCGAAAATAAAGGTAGGACGTCGTTTGGGGGATAGCTATAGGGACGACTTGTCGTCCTCATAGCTCTCTAAACCCAAAATTAGAACAGCCCCTGTTTATGCACGCAAGCTCAATAATCAATCATCGTTCTCTCTCGATCGATCAGTCAAAGATTCTCTCTTGACGACTTCCTCACCTCCCATTACCGACAAATCTTCTTCCTATCTCCACTGATCCTCATGCTAGTTGCCGAAGACCACCGATGATTACCTTCAACACCGACGATTCCAACTACCGGCTTCCTTTTCATTTCCGGTTACGAATTCTAACAATTACAAGCCCCACTCCAGTAACCTAGGTTAGTAATTCTCGGTTAGAAACTGGAATTGGGGTTTATGTTAGCAATTATGTGTTTGAAACTGAAATTGTGAGTTTCTATGGTTTCATAGCTCTCACAGAAATCATCGATGGAAAGGAATGTGGAACACCGTCGTGAATGGCCTTACCGGAGCTGGCGGAGGTATCGTTGCTTAAATCATCATGTACCATCTCCAATCGGTACTTAATTCTTCCCTTTTACTCTCTCTGTCTACTTCCTATTCGTCTCGTGGTACACTTATTCAAATGCTTCATGTTTATCTTCTTCTTTTCATCATAAACATGTTTTTCCTTCTATGATCACAGTCCAATAATCAAGTAATTTTTATTTAGTCTAATAATCAAGTAATCTTCATCGGTAATCTTCATATCTCCTTATGCACCTCCTAAATTACTGTCAGAGTAGCCTTGAATACCAAATTCCATACGATGTTGTTCGAGCGATATATGAAAGGATCCTCTTTGTTGCTATTAAGTGTTGTTTACTTAAACAGTTACATGAACTTTAATACAAGACCAAATGTATACGCCTCCTTTACATTCACACTTATCCATCGCAACACCCTTGAATTCACAGATAAGTTGTATTGAATATGTAAATCTGGATCATGTCCTCTACATTCAAACTTATTAACATAATAATTTCAATCCCTTGTCTTTTCACAATAGGTTATAAGAAGTGAAGGTCTTTGAGAATACAAAATATCAATATATGGAAGAAAGCTAAGTGGGTGGGACAATTTGGCAGGTTGGATCGTAAATAATGAGTTATACAGTGAGAATGTTGTGTGGTTGATTCATGTGATGTCTTACTATAATACATATACCAATTTTCTCTATTTTATAGGAACCAAATCTTTATACTTTGATATTAACTAACTAAAATTTATTTGCCTACTTGTGTTGTTCAGCTACAATTCTGACAATTCTGGATAATGTCTTCCTTCCACTCATTGAGGTAACATCCCCAGTTACATGTATTCTTGAAACAAGTAACCTAACACCATTCAAAATTAACATGTCACATACTTTGAATTTGATTTATTTTTATTTAATGTAATGTTTTAAGTTTTAACATTCTTATAAATACAATACAGGTTGTAGGATTGGATTATGTCTATTATTTTTATGCCAATCTTTATACCCTAAATAAGCTTCGTGAATCAATGGGCATGATAAAAATTAGATTATGTCCTCATTATGGGGAGGTATGTATCAAAAAGACGTAAATACCCTCATCCTCATCCTCATCTTAATTGGAAATAACATTTTTGCTTGTATTGTTGTGATCAGGCGGGTGATATTGACCACTTAGCTGCCTCATTTCTTACAACTCACAACATTGCACACAGAATTAATCTCAGAAAATTTCTTGTCCTTCAATATCTATACTACTTTGCCCAGGTAACAACTAACAACTAACAAATCCTTTTTTCATGTTCAATATTTGTTGTTGTTGTTGTTATTATTATTATTATTATTATTATTTGGTTAGATTGGGTTTGCAATGTCTCCTTTAAGCAGAAGAGAAGATTCTAGAAACAAAGAAAGAAGCTCTTCATTGCATGATAAGTTGCATGAACTTGATTCTTTGAAGCCTAATCCCTATGGGAGATTGCAAGCGGTTGGTAGTCTTAAATCTTAACATATCCGTGTTTAATTTTTTTAACATCATGTCTTTTTAAGTCAAGGTTTTTAGGATGAAAATGTATTTTTAGTAGGTGCAAAAGCGAAACTTGTTGTTGTAGGATGAAAAGCATTTACTATATATTACTATCTCTCGAGACGACATGTTGTTTTTATAGTTGTATCTATGGAGACGACTTCTTGTCTTTATGGACGCACCTATAGAGACGACATGTCGTCTCTATAGATTTATGTATGGAGACTGGCATCATGTAGCGACGAACCAAAAAAGGACGACATGCCATCTCTAAAGGCTACCTATTGCGACGGTATTTCTAGCGACGGAAAAAAAGATCTATTGCGACGGGGTTATGGTGACGAGACCTATAGGGACGACATGTCGTCCCAGAAACCTATGGGGACGACTTTTGGAACCTATAGAGACGACATTTGTCGTCCCTATAGGTCCCGTTTCTTGTAGTGTAGTGTTTATTGAGGGGGTTGGAAATAGCATTTGCGGTTGAATCATTTTAAGTAAAGTTAACATAATAAATACGTATTAGATATAAATAACAATTTGATGACATGTGATGAAAAATGATTATGAAATGATTGTAAATATGTAAGCAAGGAATTAAAGAATTCAACAAGTGTATTTAGTCATTTAATAATGTTAACCGCCAAATTTGGTGATCCACATACTTTGGATCAAAGTAAGTCTTGAAGAGAGAATTAAGACTAAATGGATATTTAGTATTACATGTGAGTATATAATGTTTTCTACTGTGATTCATGTAAAAAAAGCTATTTATTTTCATGCATAAAATACATCTTCATATGAAGCATTTCTAAATATGAAATATATATATATATATATATATATATATATATATATATATATATATATATATATATATATATATATATATATATATATATATGTAAAGATACAAAGTTATGTTTATAGAATGCATGACACATTTTTGAATTCTATAAAAATAAAAATATAAGATTAACTTGTTCCCTTCTACCTAGCTTACACATGTGGGAATAATCTTTATGCTATGTCAGCCTGAAATTATGATTTTATCTTCTAGTATGATAGATTCAAGAACTCAGGAGTAACAGATAAATCAGTTAGCTGTTCTTCCGAACTCGTGAATTATAGAGACAATTTCAACATGCTTCATGTGTCCTGTGATATTATTGTTCCAATTTCAACATGCACCATATTGAAATAAAATATTGGAAAGATTTGGTGGATGAAGGATGATTTAATGTCAAATTTAGATAGCAATCTAGAAACTTGTTGTTGAAACATGAGTTATTTAATAAATATGCAACGAGCTGATCATCAAGAAATTTGGGGCTTTCAATATACAACCAATTTGTCATTTGCCAACCATAAGGAGGGGGAGGGGGTTGTTATTTGTCGACCAAAGGTTTGTTTTGTTTTGTTTTTATTTTTATTTTTATTTTTTATTTTTATTTTTATTATTATTATTTTTTTGACACTTCAGAGAGAGAGATAAAAGTGGAAAGAAAAATAGGACATGAAATCATCTAAAAAACATATATTCTTTAGATTAATTAAAGTAGATGATATATTATATATGCATACAATTTTAATTTGCATGAAGTATTAAATATTTATTATATAAACATGTAGAATAGAAGCTAACTATATTTGCATGACAATCTTAATGTCAAATTCCTATTAAAATAACATAAAATATTAAAAGTTGTTTATTGTAATCATCATTTGTGACATATAAGGGAGATCAATGAGTAAACGTCTAAAACGTACGTAAATGAGTAAGGATTAAGTAGATATAAAATTTATAAATAAGGGATTTGAATATGTCAATTGCAATATCAAGGATCATAAATGTCACTCGGACATTCGAAGGATCATATATGTAACTCAATCTAGTTTAAAAGAGCACGAGCACTGTCGCTTTCAGTACAAATTCTCTTTCCGTATCTCTCTCTCCCCATCGTATCTACGTGTTTCTTGTGTGCTTGCGTGTGGGGGCTCAGCCATGGCGGACCAACCTGCAGGTTGCACAAAAATGGAGCATTCCGCCGAAGACGACAACAAACAGCGGATGGAAGCTACCGTAACCTACCCAAGAAAAGTCCGGGTCATAGTCTCCGACCCTCACGCCACAGATTCATCATCGGACGAAGGTGGGTAACGTTGAGCGACCATCGCGACGCCGAATTGTTCACGAGATTGTTCTTGGGGTCAGAGCCAGAGAGAACAACGACGACGGTGAAGCGTCAAAGCGGAGGGGTTCCATGGATCAAAAGGAGAACGAAAGGAAATGGGGTAAGTTGTGTTCTGAAATCCGTGACCCGTTTAATAAAAAGTGGGTCTGGTTCGGCACCTTTGACACCGCTGAGAAATCACTGAAAGCTTACAACAAAAAGAAAGAGAAGTTTCGTGCTGGACAAGCGGCTGAAAACCAGCAGGTGACTCCAGTTTCCAAGGGAGTTCGCAAAGGGAAAAAGGTGGCGAAGCTTGATGATGACCCGACCCGGAAACAGTGCAAGGGAGTTCGAAAGACTGAATCGGGTAGATGGAGTGCGAAAATTCGTGACCCAGTTAAGAAATCACAAGTTTGGGTAGGTACATTTGATACCAAAGAAGAGGCTTCAGAAGCAATTGAATCAAAGAAGGTGGAATTCGGGTCCAAGAGGACCCTATCCAATGTCGAAAGTGGGTCATCTTTGAAGACCCCAAAGACTGAGACTTAAAGTTTGCCTAGTGGTAATGGTGGTGAAATAGTGGTCGTTAATTAGGTGAATTGGAGATCGGGAATAAAGAAAACAAGCCACCATTGTAGCTAGGGTAGGTTCAGTTATGGTATATGATTATGAGATGATGAATAAATGATATAAAAATGATCTCCGTTTGATGTTTTTAGCTATTTCATTTGCATCATTTTCTTGTTGCATATCTATTCCGTTTTCTGCATACTAGATGCTCTGAATGATTAGACGATCAATACATGTTATGAGCTTGTGTATCAGCTTGTTTTAGCATTATATGGACAATAGTGAAAATCTACTTTAAGATCTTATAATCTCTAATGGTTAGCATATCAAAGTTCGTTTATTATTATTATTTTTTTATAACTTTTTTTAAATGTTTCTATAAATTAACTATTTTACTATCTTTTATCTACTTTAAATGTTGTATAAAACATACAAATATAATTTATATTTTTAAATCATGGCATATTCTGGAAAAAAATATCACACAACAAAAAAAAAAAAAAAAAAAAAAAAAACTCAAAAATCATAATATTTAAAAAACTGAACATAGTCTTTATTTCGCTTTCATCGCTAATCGCACATTCACCGATGATGAACACATTTTTACTCGTACTTTTTGCTAATACATCAATGATGAACTCAGTCACTCATGCAATAAGTTTGTCAATGTCGTCATCAAACAAAATTTGGAACAACGTACATGTGATTTTCCTTAAACATACAATGTATGATTTTATAGACATTATGCTATTAGCATCCAAAACAAAAATAAAGTAAAAAATTAACTATGTTCTGTCTTTATTCTGAATATATATATATATATATATATATATATATATATATATATATATATATATATATATATATATATATATATATATATGACAGCCTAATTTTGTGAGACCGTGAGATTCAATTATACTTATTCATTTAATAGATAAAAAAAACAATTTAAAAATGCAAAATAATTGAAAATTTTCAAAAACAAAATTTTCAAATATTATTTTCGGAATTTATATTTTCCAAAAACAAAACCAAAAAAAATTAAAAAAAAATACATTTTTTTTACATATTTTAATAGAATATTAGAAAATATTTTACATATCTGACAAATCTAGTAGAATTTTAACATCCTAAAAATCACATTAGAATATTTACAGTTTAATATTCTATTAAAATATTTCATGTATATTTAAAAAAAAAAAAAACGTAATTTTTTTATTATTTTTATTTTTTAGGTAATTAAAGTTCCGAAAATAACAATTAAATTTTTTTTTTTGGATTTTTTCTTTTATTTTGTATTTTAAAATTAGTTTTAGATTTAATCTCACGGTCACACAAAATTAACATGGTCTCAAATTAACCTGAACCCCTCTCTCTCTCTCTCTCTCTATATATATATATATATATATATATATATATATATATATATATATATATATATATATATATATATATATATATATATATATATATATATATATATATATATATATATATAGGGGAGAGTTCATGCGAAAATGCAAATAATTTGCGAAAACGCGAAAACAAGAAAAACCAATGATATTGTGTCACCTCAACATTATATTTTGGAAAATAATTCATCCAAACTTTGAAATATATGATGATAATCGATGATAGATGATAAATTGTTTCATATTAGCAAAGTATGATTTTTAACATTTTTATTAAGAAAACATGAATTTAAAAATGATTAAGGACGTAAAAAAATATAATTATCAAAACCGTCTTTAAATCTATATTACCATAACACCGTCCAATGTAAACTTACTATATTTAATTTATTGCTAATAAATTTATTTTTTTATAGTACATATGCTTGATTTTCACAAGATAAAATCTGTTTTCACGTTTTCGCAAGATATTTATATTTTCGCATGAACGTACTTCTATATATATATATATATATATACACACACACACACACACTAGCCGTCTACCAACGCAAAGCGGCGGGCGGCGAATAATTTGATCTCTTTAGAGTTAAAACAATTTTGCATTCACTTCGAGAAATGAATATTAAATGACATCTATTTTTCAAGAGCATTACCCTACCATATTAAGGGGGTGTTTGGCTAAGCTTTTTTTAAAACAACTTATTAGGTTCCACATCACTATAAGTTAAAAAAATGTTTGGATTAAAATAACTTATTCCGGTAGGGAACCTCTAATACGTCATTTTTTCATAAGTTGCCCTCCAAACCACTTGTACTGTTTATTGTCCTTTTTTTTTTTTTTCCTCAATTCATTTATTAATTTAATGTCCTACTAAGTAAAATGCTAAAATATATAAATAATAGTTTATAAAAATAAACCTTTAGAATATCAGGTGTTATGATTCAAAAGTCGATAAATAGGCCTTTGAGAATGTCAAAATACTCAGGTGTCAACTTGTTCATTGTGATTTTAAACTAAGTTTGGTCACAAATTAAAACATTTTCAACGATGGTATGTAATTCAAGGATTCATATTGATTTAGGTTCTCGAAACCTTAAAATATTGAACAAAATTTATATAGAACCTTATAATAATGACAATAATCACCATAATCAGGAAGTCAATGTGATAAAACTTGATATTATAACGACCAATGATGAAAAAGGTTTCATTTTTAGACTAAACAAGATGAAAAATATACAAACTACCTTAATCATGTCAAATCTTGTGTTAACCGTTCTTTATTGTAAAAGTAAGATGCCAAAATATACAAACTAATGATAATACAATGCTCTAACTGACCCCTCTTGGTTGAGTTCTTTGAACCTGCAAAGCCAACACATTAAAGAAACATAGTAAAAACCTTTTTAGGAACAAACCTGATATAATAAAGCCTTCACCCAATATATTTATAAGATAAAAATACAAAATGTTAAAAATGATGAAATTAATTACAAGTGAGGATTAAAATAAAAATATGTTAAGAAAGAGCAATTTGCAGGAGGGATATTTGAATCAACATTCATTTTCTGATGATTTCAAATTTGAATTATCCGAAATTTAGGGAAGGAGATAGAATTTGTTGAGAAATATAATGATTTAAAACATAGGTTAAAATTTAATATTATTTTATTGATGACTACTTGTATTATTAGCTTAATGATTTGAACATCTTAAAAAATAATATTATTATATTCAATCTATTTTTAAAAATAGTGAAATTTTTTTTTATAAGATAGTATATATATATATATATATATATATATATATATATATATATATATATATATATATATATATATACATATTATCTTATAAAAGAAATCTTACTATTTCTAAAAATTCATATATATATATATATATATATATATATATATATATATATATATATATATATATATATAAGATAAAAAAAATCACATGCGGTTATAAAATAAAAATACAGAAAATAATATGTGAGTGCAAAGTTTATAATATTTGATATATTTTATTTTGAAATTTTGATAATTGAATATTAGAAATTTTGTTTTGAAAAATGTGTTTATTATATTTCATATATATTTAATTAAATAGATTAAATAATAAAAATATTAAAGATTTAATATCGAAATATAGATATGATATTAAGTAAAATGTTTTGAAAACTATGGACCAAAATAAGAAAAATAATGAGATGATTAAAATGTATTAAGTGGTTGGAATAACCTATGAAAAAAAAACTATGGAACCAAAACAATAAAAATAAAACTCTAATGATATACAATTATTGAAAAGCTTACTTAAATAGTAAACCTTTTCCATAAGCTACCATTTGAGATGCTATTAACAAAGATTATATGTGTACAGCCACAACTTGATGAGCACTGTACTTCAAAGTATAATACCATAATTGTTAATCTATACATAATTGTTAATCTATTTGAGTATGGGTATGTGACACAAAAAACACTCTTTTTACACAGAAATTCGATTTTGACACCGTGTTTTTTTTTTTTTTTTTGTCAATTTTGACATTGTGTTTTCCAATTTGTTACAATTCTGACCACTTGACCGGTTAACCAGGTTAAATGCTGATGTGACATGATGACGTGTCAGTTTTGATGACGTGGCATGCTGACATGATATGCTGACGTGTTAAAATTGAATTTTTTTTCTACAAAAAACACTAAGTTTTCACTTTTTTTTTTGATTTTGACACTAAGTTTAATTTTTTATTTCAATTTTGACACTATGTTTTTTTTGTTCCAATCGAATATCATTTATCAAATTTTATTCAATTTTTATCTATTTTCCATTAGAAAGCATATAAATATATTTTTTTATTACATTTTAAACCGTATAAACATATTTTTTTCGTTTAAAAACCACATTTTTATTTAAATACAAGGTGTTTTTTTTTCTTACATTCAAAACATTAGTTATATCATGAGAATCAAACTAACCATAAGCTTCTAATAAGATGTAAAAATTTGATGGGTTGCAAACTTGATATCCGAGTTTTGATCGACTACACACCTCCAAACCTCCAAACACATTTTAAAGTTGTATATTTAATATAAAATACAATTTTTAAATAACTAATATATATTTGTACATAAAAATACGATTTGAGTGTAAAAAAAATATTTATACAAAACTATGGTTTTTAAATGAAAGAAAAAAACATATTTATACGGTTTAAATGTATTTAAAAAATATTTATACGATTTCAAATAGAAATTATCAACATTGAACAAAATTGGAAAAAATGATGTTTAATTTGGAACAAAAAAAACATAGTGTCAAAGTTGAAAGAAAAAATTAAACTTAGTGTCAAAATCGAAAAAATATGAAAACCTAGTGTTTTTTGTGAGAAAAAAATTCAATTTTGACACGTCAGCATATCATATCAGCATGTCACGTCATCAAAACTGACACGTGATCATGCCACGTCAGCATGTAACCAGGTTAAATTGTCAAGTGGTCAGAATTGTAACAAATTGGAAAACATAGTGTCAAAATTGACACAAAAAAAAAACACG